AAATGAAATTAAGATGAATATGGACAGAATATAAACAAATAGAATGAATCACAGTATTGTCAGAGTTGGAAGTGACCTCTGGAGATCATCCAGTCCAACTCCCCTGCTAAAGCAGGATCCCATGGAGCACATTCCACAGGACTGCATCCAGACAGGTCTTTAATGAGACTCCACAACCCCCTGAGCAGCCCCCAGGGTTCTGTCACCTGTACCATAAATAATTTTTTCCTCATATTTAAAAGGCACTTTCCATGTTCCAGCTTGTGCCTGTTGCCCCTCATCCTGTTCCTGGGCACTGAAGAGTCTGGCTCTGTCCTCCTTGCACCCACCCTTTATATACTTACATTAATAATGTCTCCCCCTTAGCCTTCTCCTCTCCAGACTAAACAGTCCCAACTCTCTCAGCCTTTCCTCATATGAGAGATGCTCCAGTTTCCCAGTCATCTTTGTTGCCCTCCCCTGCACTCTCTCCAGTAGTTGCCTGTCTCTCTTGAACTGGGGAGCCCAGAACATAAAGTAAAGGAACATATGCTTGGTATTTGGGGAAGAAATGGTTTGCTCTTCTCAAATGACAGACCGAATCAGCTTCCTGAATTCTCCCTGCTCTGGCCTCAGAGAACCTGACTGGAATCAGGTGACCTGTACTGTCATCTCAGTGTTTTGTTTACATATTTTCAGCATTTCATGACAGCTGCTCAGTGATGTGGTGTTCTGGAATGTCAGAAGAACATTGGTATAAACCCATACCTATCCAACAGTTGCTGGAAGGCTCCCTGCTCTAACTGGCAGGCAGCACCTTTGTCATTCTCTCAAGCCAAATTCTGCCCCAGAGCATTACCCTCCAGAACCAGTATTTAAAATAAACTTTGAAAAAAGAGCAAGGAGTTATCCTGCTATTCTGGATTGTCCAGTTTTTCTCTTCTCTGCATCCTTTTCACATCCTCTCCTGAACTGCATAACAATTAAATAAGCTGAACTTCTTCAAAGCACAGGTTTAGAGAAATAGACTCAGAAAATAGACTCTAAAACCAGATCTCCAGGGTAGACAGACAGTTGCAGTGTGAATAACAGGTTGTCTTCATTGGTAGCTTAAATTCCCTTGTTGCTGATGGACAAATTTGATGATGTACCTAATTATATTGTAACTGACAGGTTGCAGCTGCTATTGTTTATACTTGAGCTCTAAATGCGACTGAGGACAGCCTGTGTTCAATCTATGACAAGACTGTTGTACAGCTGTTCAAAATACTTCTGAAAGGGAAAAAACTTCCCTTCTTTAAAAGAAAAAAAAAATTACTAAGTGTCAGCCTGTGAACTTACCTTGTGTGTGTTGTAAATATTGTTGTTCATGATCCAAGTGATCTTTCTTTCGGGGACATACCGAAACCCATGGATTTTGGCAAAGTCGTTTGGATTAAATTTGGACATCTGAGCTGTAAAATGTCCTTTCAGATCTATGATGAGCCACAGACTCCCCATGTGAAATTAAGGAAATGACTCAATTTCTCAGTGCTGTCAGCTCAGGTGCCAGAGAAGTGTACTTTCTTTTGCTTTTTGCCTTGTCAGGATTGCAGGTTTTGAGAAGCTGATGCTTTTGATTCTTATGTGCTGGATGCAGGTGCATTAGGAGGTTCAGAGTGTTGTCGTCTTGGTCCTTGGTTTTACAAGCTCTATAGTTAAGAAGAAAACTAAAATTTTAAAATGCCAGTGACACATCCTCTTTTTTTCATAGCTGTGGGGGCTTCCACGTGAAGTATTAATGATGTCTGGTACAAAAGTGGACGTATATGCTACCCTATGTTTTGTGTCCTGGCTAATTAGACTGTAATGGTCTTAAACGTCCTAGGCTAAGAAATTGTGCATTTGTCTTTCTTTCTGGCTTGCAACCTCTTCACTTAACTCACGAATTGTCAGTAAAGACTGCAAAAGCCTGTTTTAAATGGATAAATGAAATGGCACAAAAACAGGAACAGGTAGAATGTGTGTTCATGGGCCCACACGTAGGGGAGAAATTGTGGCTTACAAAGGAAGGGGTAATGTGATGAGCCAGGCTTTAAGTGTAGCTTTTCAGGTAATCTAATGTACAAAATCCACAGCATCATTGGACTTGCTAAATGTAGAAGTTACTGTGTTCATTTTGGTAATCAGTGGTCATAACACAGTATTTTCTTCTTGAACTTTGCTGGCACAATTTATAGCAAATTCAGGGAAGCAAACACAGCAACATTAGTACCTGTCTCTTTAGGAAGTCTGGGCCAAACAAAATGCATGTCTTGCAAAAAATGAACAAACAAACAATGAAGCCAACAATGTTTTACATAAACAGCTCCCAGTACTACAGAAGAAACTCTTTCAGCAGAATGTTGAAGGCAAGGTTGGGAATTTTGTAGCAGGAATTTTCATTCTCAAGCTCTCTAAGGTTTGCATGTCATGATGAAATCAGGAGGCAGAAATATCAGTGAATTACTGGATGTGACAAACGGCTGCAATAGTGATTCTGTTTGTGATTGATTATTCCTGAAGGGATAAGTACACTTGTCCCATCTGTTCCTACCTCTCTCCTGAGAAGTGTTTAGGGTACATCTGAAAATGAAAAAGGAAAATAAGTACTTGAGGCAGTCTGGCATTGTTTGAACCCTTTGAAATGAGAGGCTACCTCTGCCATGGAATGTTAGCTTTGGAGAGCAAGCAAGCACTGCCTGACAGCCTTAATTTTTAATGTCTTTGCCTTTGTAGGTTTGTGACAGACTCCAACCAGCCATCTGTGTTAATGAAGCACTAAGTACATTGTATAATTACAAGATTCTGAATATAATTGCTGAGTATGCTGCATAATTTAAGTTCCAACTGTACTTGCATCTCTCATTCATCAAGCCAGTGAAGGATATAATAATACTGAAAACAGTAAGAGTTGGTGCTTCTGCAGTACAGTCATGGGGAGCTGCACCTAATGTGTGTCTTTGTGATTCTTTTAAAGAGATCCTGGCTGATAAAATCACAGTAGCTAAAGGTGAAGGTTATCTGTAAGATGAATCTTTTCCTTGCAAGCCTGAATATAATGCCCTGAGTAAGGAAATATTTGATACTAAATGTGTATTCTGGGTCTGGAGATGTGCCAGTTCTTGTAGAGTGAGATCTCACACATACAGTGTTTTGTGGCAGGGGAGAACGGAGCTGCTCTGGTATAAAAAGGAAGTCACTCTTATTTTGTCTGTTTGTAAACTGGTTGGGCATCAGCAGAGACTCATGAATGTGAGGAGACAAAGGCTCGGGTAAGATAGTTCTTTTGGTGGTAGGATCTGGCATCCCTTTTAGACTTTACACATGCCAGGCAAGGGTGACAGTTTCACTGCACTGTTCCTAGAGGTTTCCCTGCCTCATCGAATAGTTGCCTGTGGCTTCCTGGGCATATAGCTTCCTAGAACTTTAAAATTTAGTTCTGCTCCATAGTGGAAATACAATGAAATATTTTTTATGTTTTTTTAAAAACTATGATTCTATCAAGTACTCATTGATAAAATCCAAGCCTTTTCTTACTAAGGAAGTTGCCGAAACACAATGTGTCTTTCACAAAACAACACTTTTAGCTAAATTTTGCTTAACTAAAGTTCTGTTTTGTTTTTACAGCTTGCTAGTGTTTAAATCTAGCTATTATCACAAGATGCAGTGCACAAAATTCAGATTGCTGAACTCCCTTCAGTGCTTTAGCTACAGACCATCCTTTATTTTTTGTAAGGCAGAAGTGGCTCCCTTAACATGTCTTAACACTCAACATAGAGTAACTGCAAACAGGTGGTAATGGAGTATGATCTAATTTCCTTGTTTGTATGTCTGTGGTGATTGTTGTGTGATTAAGCATTTCTAAGATACAATACAGTTGTCCTTGTTCCTTTATGAGCAAAAGGATCGTCTGAATAATCACTGTTTCATTCCACATTCTGTCCCTATGTGGAATTCATATTACTCAAACCCTGCTTTAGCTGCAGACCACCTTTCTTAATTTCATTAAGACATCTCTCAGCTTTATTACAGTTCTTTTTCCAGAAGGCAGTTGAAAAGAAGGGAACATCAGCTCTGTGGTGATGGTTACTCTTTGGTTCAAACAGTGCCTCTCAAGGGCATAATGAAGAAAGAAAAGTTCCCACAAAGCAGGGTTCCCAGCTTTCCTATTGAAGAGTCAGTAACAACAACAACTCTCTCATCTTGAAAGTTTCCCACCACTGACATGAGGCTGCAACCTGCAGGGTTATTATTATTTAGTTAATCATCTCTTGTGTTTCCCTCTTAGGAAATAAGGGGGAAATACTACAGTTGGACTAGAATATCTTACTTTAGGAACCACAGTGAGGAAAAATGTATTGGTAAATGGCAGCTGCAGGCCTTTTAAACTTTGATGCAGCCCTTTTACTAATTGTTACAGTGGGAAGTTCTTTGTCCTTGAAGTGCAGTGAGAAGGCTGCACTTACTCTAGTTTAATTTACAGCTAAATTATCAAGGGAAGTGCAGAAATAGGAATGAACTACTCTTTTATTTGGAAATTGATTACTGGAGGTCAATTCTACATCTCCAAAGGGTTACCAATCCTTTGAGTTCCTTCCTGAGAAGTTATTCTAAAGGGAAAGACTTCAATGCATGCATGTCCTTTCAGAACATCTGGTGTTGTGCTGCCGACTTGAATGCCTTAAGCATCTCCCAGTGAAGGAGTGGTAACTTGAACCTTTTGAGGCAGCTCTTACTCATTTAAACACAAACTGGTCTTTAGAGATAGGAACATCTGTCCTCCCTTCTTGTCAAACACTGCTTGGTTTTGCTAAATTTCAGGCACAGCAGGTGGCTACCTCGGTGTGTTCTAGTGAACAGAATTCTGTTAGTCCTCACTGTTGCCCCAAGAACAAGCCTGTGTGGTTGGCAGCTCAGGGGCCATTTGAATGCCTTGTTTGCGAAGCTGCGATGAAACGGAAGCTTTGAGAGACCTTTTTGTCACCTTCTTGTCCTTTCAGTGGCCAGTTCGCTATCGTGAAGAAGTGCCGAGACAAGAGCACAGGTGTGGAATATGCTGCCAAGTTCATTAAGAAGCGCCAGAGCCGGGCCAGCCGCCGCGGGGTGAGGCGGGAGGAGATCGAGCGTGAGGTGGCCATTCTGCAGCAGGTCCTGCATGCCAACATCATCAAGCTGCATGACATCTATGAGAACAAGACAGACGTGGTCCTCATCCTTGAGCTGTGAGTAAGAGGGCTTCCTGTCCTCTGGGGTAGCGTGAGGTAAATAGGAACCGGAAAGAGCTGCAGAGGCTGCCAGAAAAGAAAGACACTTAAACTGGAGCTGTTGTGTCCTCAGGCCTCTCGGATCTTGGCAGAAGAATTTAATGAGGTTGCTGGTAAATGGGCTCCCCGGTTCACCCGTGTGCCTTGGGGATACAGGTGCACCTTAACATCAGCTGAGGCCATTGTTACTGAGCCCAAGGAGTGTTGTCACCTTGAAAACAATTTACTAAGGAATTACCTCACGTCTGCCTAGTGCTGCCCTGGTGTGAACCTTGGAGAAAGCACAAATGGCCACTGAGTGCTCACTTTATTGTTTTTTTTTGCTTTCATGTCTTCCAATGCATGTGAAGCCATCAAGTCCTTTGCAAAATTTGCAGCCATTCTCACTACTCCCATATATTCCTCATTTAGAGGACAGTAGGGGAAAAGGGGGAGGAGGATAAAGGAAGAGGTTTTTTTTTAATCCCTAGGGAATGAACAGCAGCAGGGTGGGAATGAAGAACTGCTCTCTTTTTTCCTCTTCCACCATGTGCCTTTTAGGTCCTGCTGACAAGTGAACTTCCCAACTGGGGAACTTGTGGTCTACTGTAGCCTCATCCCTGCATTGTGACCCACTGGAGAGCCAGGCTTCTGGCTTAGGATGAGTATCAGACATATTTGCTATCTAATAGAAACTGATTTTTGCTGTTTAAGAAGAGATTTTAAACAGGCAGCAGCAGCTTCTCTGTCTGGGCTGAGGGAACAACGGCGTGTTCTGCAGAACCAGTGTGTGTCCCTGCCTGAAAGTATAAATGCACAGCCCAGGGAAGCTGGAGGTGTGATCAGAAATCATCTTAACAAAGCCTTGGCTAAGGAACCTTTGCTTAGTTGGAATATAAATTTGCATTTCAGAGAGTCACCTTTGATGCTTTTGTCTGTTTAATCTTATTGACTGAAAGGAAGTGAGAGAACCTGACTAATAGGTGTTACTGTGTAGAGAAATGCTGGTTTAATATAATTTGAAGCAGGATCAAAATTGTCAGCCTCTGCCATAGCAATTAAATTACCTGCATGAATTCTGTTGGCCTAGAAAGAATTAATCCCAAAGGCATCAGCAGTTTTTTACACCATGTTTGTCTTCACATATATTTGATGGAACTGAGGTGAAACACTTGAGACAGATGCAGACCACAGCCTAGTAATTTAATCTCTTACAACACAACTTGTTTTGAACGTGTTCTGCCTGTTTCTGCTGCCTGGCTTGAGATTCTTTAGGTCCACTATGTGGGCAGATGTGCCTGACCATGTTTTGGAAAGCTGTCATATCAGTATTTCCAAGCTGTCATGTTGTGGAGGTTGCATGCAGGGGTTGATTTTGAGATGGGCATCTGAAATGTGTGTGGCGGGTGAAGATTACACGATCACTCCAGTGCTGACACTAATGTATGTGTGGTGGAATTTCTTTACTTTTGTGAAAAAATGTGATGTAGAAGGACCCTAACAAATGAAAAGGAATAGGAAGTTGATTTCTTTTAAGGAAGAATATACCTCTCTCTAGCCTGGCCAGGAGACCTTTGCTCTGTGTAAATAGCATTTTTTTGTCTCCTGGCCTTGCAACCCAGGATGAATCCAACTGATATCAGAAGAGTTATTGCTAGTTATGTGAATTTAGCTTAGATTGGAGAATCTAAAATAGAGAGGTACTGTGAGAAGGGGCTAGTGACATCTCAAAGGAAGAGTTGCTTTGGCAGAACTAGAGCTGGACACACAGGGCAGCTGCAGCAGTTTACAGGGTTACTAGTGTGCAATACCAAAGGAAGATTCTTAGAGTAATTAACTGATCTGTCAGATACTGAATATACTGAAGGGTTTGATGCTGCAGGGAATTACCATCACTTTAGGTAGGCCATTTAATAATTTCAGCTTCCCCTTCTCACGCCGGGGATCCAAATTCTTCACTGTGAAGTCCCAAAGGGAAGTAAGTTGCCTGCTGCTCTTTGGCTTTCTGTTGCCAGTTGTATTTGCCAACCATTCAGATTATATTAGGTTTGACCTGTAATGGCTGGGAGATCACAGAAAGATCATTTGCTTCTCTGCATTGCATCAGCAGCTGGATGCTGTAGAACATTTGGATGTCCCCAAATTTAATAGTGTTACTGTCCATGTGTTAGCTTGAGAGTAATTTCAAGAAAACTTTGTAGTTGCCTGGTGTCAATTATTGAGTTAAAAAATAACCTGCCAAAATAAATTATTTCACTTTTTCAAGAAATTAAAAAAGGGAGGCACCGAGTGACAGAGTCCTTATAGCCAAACAGAATGGGATAAGGAATTTGGATGAAACTTGGCACTTGTTGCTGTTCTGGGTGTTTCGTGGCTGAGGATGAAGACTGAAGTAGGAGTGAGTGACACTGTGTGCATGGGTGATCATATAGACTCATGTCTGAAGCATCTCTTGCTGTACAGTTCACAGGGTGTGCTGTAGGCCTACCTTAAGGAGCTGAAAGGGATGTAAATTATCTTAGTGCATGGGCAGATTTATATCTGTGTATTTGTGTGGCTCAGCCTTCCTCATCTCCACTCACAACCAGGGGAAACCTGAACACTGCACACAAAGCAGAAAGTGGAATTGTGTGCTTGTACTCATCAGAGCCAGGAATGGAAGTAGCTCCTCTAATAAATGAAGCTTTGCTGGTCAGGATGTACAGTCTTAGCCCAAGGGGATAAAATTTGTCATGTAGTGAAGGAAGACAGACATCAATTTAACCTTTTTTGGCTGCTCTTTTGTGGAATCAATACCACTCACTTTACGAAGCTCTGAGTCTTAGAGTAGCTGTGCAGAAGATGAGGTATCCTGTATTTGTCAATTCATGGTACTAAAGTAAAGCTGTAAGCAAGGAGAGAGTCTGAGGTTTTCTACTTACTACAGTTTTTAGGTAATGAATAAATGATGCAATTTTACTGTACGTATGAAGCATGAAATACAGAGACGCTGTGGCTGGAGTTATGTAGACCGTGTTCCCTGGGACACCTGTCTTGACCTTGTGCATGGAATCCAGGCAATGAAGCTTTGATCCCTGAGTGAGATGAAATAACCTCTGCCATTCCAGGGGAGCCAGCACTTGGG